GCGTCTCAGTCTGGTCTTAGGTGTCTTGGGGGTGGTACGTCAGGTGGGTCCGTCTGAGTGGGGTTGGTGGGTAGGGGAAACGGTGGGAATGGGAAGTGCGTGTGTGTGGGGTCTCGTCCCCTGTGGGCGACAAGGAGGAATTAGCGACGGGGAGTGGGAGGTCCGCGGTCTCCTACGGTCCGCGGATTCCCCTCACCTTTTAAGAGTCGCTGTGTCCTACCGGGTCGTAGGAGGAGGTAAGAGGAGTCCAGGTGGGGCCAGCCCTCCCTGGGTCTGTGTGGTCGGCAAATACCTGAGAGTAGTGTCTCGGTCTCTGCTCGTCGGGTCCCTGTGAGATCCCTGGTCAGCTCTAGGTCGTGGAAATCGTGTTGGTGATATGATCCTCATCAGTGTGGTTCCAGGTCATGTGGCCATGGGCTGGCCGTGAGTGGCCATGTGAGTGGGCAGGTGTGAGGCATCGTAACTGTGCATAAAAACAATAGCAATAACATGTAAACTTATACAGATATCAACAGCGTATTCCGCGTTACTGGCACCCTTGTCAGAGGGCACGGGCGGCTGCACCCTGTTCCCCGGTCCCCACCCCGGTGAGCACATCCCCACCTCTGGTCAGGACCCCAATCCCCCCTGGGGCAACCCCCTCGTCTCTAAGTCTCCTCAGTTGCTCCTCGTCGCGTTGGTGTCTAGTTAAGTCAGTAGGCGGGGTACATGGCATGAGGGCTGAGTTGATCAGTACTTGTGGGTCTCGGGGGTGGAGGTCAAGTTCGTTTTGCCCGGTCTCCTAGCATGTCCCCTCTCCCTCCCCACGGGTTATGTGCGTTCTTGGGCTGTGGGTAAGTGAGTGAGTGAGCCCCGCCGGTGGGGCCCCCCGCCTGCTCGCTCGGGTCATCACAGGTCTATCAGGGCCCCAGCGGCGTGGCCCAGTCGGAGTGGGTCCCCGCCCGTGTGGTCAGGGTAGGCCGCCCCCCGTCTGTTTCTCAGGGCATTCCCGCCCGACTCTAGGAGCATCTCTCCCCTGCGCCATCCCCCACCTGAGCCCTGTCTGCCCACATATGCCCCCCCTCCCCATGGGGACTCCCCGGACCCCCCTGTCAATGGAGGATGGCCTGGGCTTCACGCAGGAAATCAGTGCAGTAAATGGATGCCCCGGTATTCCCCTAGCCCCCTGCCCCCCCTCCCGCATTTGTCAATTACCACATAGCGGCCGATGTAGGCCTCTGAAGGATAGCAAAGGGTTAGAGTCTCGGATGAGGAGAGTGACCCAAGGGGTGCTACTTGCGGATATGCGCTGCGGTCGTCTCCAGGTCACTTATGCCGCAGTCCCTGAAAGCCTGGTGGCTTGCTGGCGGGATCCCCTGCTTCTGCGGGGCAGGGATGAGGGTCCTCGTGTGTCCGAGTTCATCATGTAAAAAGCAGTAGGATCCGGCCATGTCATATGGATGGGAGGGAGGTTCAGCTCCACAATTAAGTCGTTTAGATCTTCAGGGTGACGGACCGTGAAAGTGCCCTCCGCAGTGATGGCCTGCAGCCCGGTCGGGAAATTCCATCGGTATCGAATCTTTCGTGTTTGGAGAGCTCTGGTAAGGGGCCTCATCGCCCTCCGGTAGGCCAAGGTGGCCGGGGTAAAGCTGCACCTCCACGCCGTTTAGTACGATCCGCTCCAGTCCGCGTGCTTTGCGCAGTATGTCCTCCTTAAGTTGGAAGTCTGCCAGGCAGCAGACCGCGTCTCTAGGGGGAGCCTCCGGCGGGCCTCTCGGTCTTAGCGCCCGGTGGGCCCTGATAAAATCAATCTTGGTGGGTGCTGGGCGGCCCAATATTTTATTAAACAGTTCCTTGAGAGTGTCCAGAATCGGCGTGGATTGGTCAGTGTCCTCTGGGATGCCTCTCACCCGAATATTTTGGCGTCGGCCACGATTGTCTAGGTCTTCCAGGTGTAGGGCCATTTGCTGCATCAGAGCAGTATGGCTCTGCATGGTGGTTGTTGTGGCAGACTGCGTGGATGTCAGGTGGTCGCAGTCCGCTTCCAGCTGAGCCACCTTGGTGTGGAGGCCTTGAATGTCTTCCCTGAGGGAGTGCAGCTCCGCTGTAATGGAGGACCGCAATTCAGTGTTGGCCTCCTTGAGGTCTTGTTTCGTCGGGAGTGCCCTTATGAGTTGCACCCATTCAGGTTGGGGGTCCAGGGGTGTCTGGGTTGGCGGTGTCTGGCGGTCGCCACGTGGTGATGCTGGGCGGGAGGCGCCGGGCGCCTCTGAATCGTTGGAGGCCTGAGATGCCGTGTCGGCGTGGGACAGCAGGTATTGCCACATGGAGGAGGGAGCGGTGCTTTTCGGCGTGTCGGCGGACTTGGCAGAGTGCGATGCCCGGTGAGTTTTGCCCATGGTCTCTCCGGTGGTAGTGCTGGGATGAGGATTTTAGCCGAGCTTGCTGGGGAGCTCCGGGTTTACGCCGCCATCTTCCTCGGCCTCCAAGCCACGCCTCCCATGCACATAATTACTGATAACTTGCAGTGACTTGTGACTATCCATGCAGTTGTATGGATGCCTGCTTCTTATCTATACCTTTCTTTGTACATATGATTGCACAGCATGCACACACAGTGCAATACCCTTCATGGCCTGTCTTGCAGAGTTCCTATAATCCTATCTGATGAGTGGAACAGTTGTTGGGTCTTTAAGACACACTGCAAAAAAATAAATACATTTTTTTTACAAAACAGCGTTAAATAAATTTATATGCAGGCTTTATTTGCACTGTGATGAAGAAACACCACATTTATGTGTCTTAGTGCCTCGGTCGTTTTGTCAATTAGTATAAGGTCAAGATATGGAAGCAGAATTCATTAAGCAATACAAAAAGTACAACAGTCCCGTGTAATTTTTCAGAACATGAAGGCCAATCTTGTAACCCTTCTAACTACAGTAATTTTTGTTTGAAAAGATTAGCGTGACAATGATTTGAAAACTACTGGCTGCCTCCAGAGATATTTTATATATTTTTTTCTGATTCCTGCTACTTCCCTTAAAACCTCACACTCCACCTGGGCATTGTGCTTGCCCGGCACTTAGCTTTTGATCCCTCACATGGTAAAGAAACATGTGTCGAGCAGCCTGCTCCTACAGAATCCCACAAACATGGAATACATTTCCAGAAATCTTCAAGTGTGCAAACAATCTAAAAATCTATAGAGGTCAAGGTTTTGTTAAGACAATGACTATTAAAGGGGCACTTCAGGCTAGAATTGGCCCATTCTATTTTAATACACACACACACACACACACAGCAATACGCTGGTATTTGGCATCTAGTAGATTTGATTACCTTTTTTATTGGACTAACATATTTCAAACACAAGCTTTCTAGAGTTTTCCTCTCTTCTTCATGACTGAAGAAATACTGATCAATCTGATCAGTTGAAATGTCATTGGAGATAAAAACGATCACACATATCAACACCAGAAATGAAGGACTTAATGCAGATTCTGGCTTTCTCACACACTACCAAAACTTTTTATAAACACATCTTAAGGTCTTCTATAGTTCTTTTTCAATATTCTCGTTTCACCTTTATTGTATCAATTTATTTACATACATATGCAGTTATATACTTGCATGCCCTGCTCTGTTTTCTTTTCAACTAGCTTATTGACTCTCCTCTGTTTACGTACCTTTTCTGGCTCTTCTCCGCCAACCTGCACCTTTCACTTTCAGGCACATCGTCTGCTATTTATGACACCCCACTCCCTCCCCTTCTCCAACATCAGTTGTTTTAAGTGTTAAACTCTATCAGATTGATCAATATTGCTTCAGACCTGAAGAAGAGGGAAAAACTGTCGAAAGCTTGTCTTTGAAATATTAGGTTAGTACAATAAAAAAAAAAAAAAGTATTATTGCATACTGCAATACTCTGGTATTTTAGCATTTTATATATATATATATATATATATATATATATATACACATATACATATATATATATACATACATACATACATACACACACACACACACACACACACAATCCAATGTAGTAAATGATTGTAATCAATCTAAAGTTGCTTTATCTGCAATAAATTCAGTTTTTTGACATACTAGAAGCTAGCTTTGCCTAGACAAGTTAGTAATTAGTCAATCAAGATTTCCAGATTTTATTTAAAGGAACACTTCACACGCAAAGTACGACAGATTTCTGTGCCTGGAGCCTGTGACATTTGTGACCGTTTATAAAAGTGCTGCTTTCATTAGAAATTAGCACCTTTATATTCAGGGATAGAAACACCTTCCTGGCGGTCAATCAGAAAGCCAAGGGAACTTTTCTTTCCCTTTGGTTAGCTCCATGGAGCCAACAATATTGGCAGGTGCTCATTGTTGGCGTGTGCCTGTACCTTCCCCACCCTTATTATTTATATAGCGCCATCAGATTCCGTAGCGCTGTACAATGGGATGAACTCTACTGCAGCTCATTGAAAAGCTTGGAGCTCCAGCAAAAAGCATTTCAGCAAAAAAACTCTGATTACAATATTCCCTGGCACAAGCTGTTTAGATATACCCCCAATAACAAGTTGTTATCCTTGTGCAAGGGCACATGTTTATGTATTTCTGCATATAATGTATAGTTCTGTCCCTTATTGCTGTATAGATTCCTACATTGCTTGGATACATCATCCATTTCTATTTGTTTTTTCTTGAGTCAACACCTTGTCTCTCCCTTCTACCTGTTCTCTAATGCTTCAGGCCAGCCACATATGGAACAGTGACAGCCTGAGAGATTGCCCATAGCTTTCAGGAAGTAAATAAATTATTTAGTAACCCTTACACAGCTTTATAAGATTAATTGGTGCAGTCCCTGGGGGGCCCAACATCTATTGAAGGTCTCAAAAGTACCTTGTTACTATACTAATTTAACTCAATCATCCTCAACTAGTCAAAACCATTCTGAACTACTGCTTGGCTTTTGTTTTTAGTACCCAATGTATATAACATGAACACAAAGAGGGAAACACGGCAACTTTTATAATCGATATAACAAATCAACATATTTATTGTTTACAATACATTCTAGTGTGATAAACATTGTAGAACAGTGGTCATTTTCTAAATATATTACAGACTTTAAATCCATTCATGGCTGGGGAGCTGCCATACATTAGACGGCACGGTAATTTAAACAAACCAACCCGTGAAAAGTTTTTTGTTTTTTTTATTCCGGGATTTAGACAGATCTTCCACTTTAGAAGAGTATGTAATAATCAGCTGTGCCTCTTCACATAACACATAAGGCTTTTCCGGTGTCAGTAGGCTGGTCACAATCCTTCCGTTATACAAACAGTTCATTACGCACCCATTGTCTTACTTCTTCTCCTCCTCCTGGCTGGACTCTGCGTCTAGAAGAGCAGAGCGAATTCCGAGCTTTTTGAGTTCTTCCACCAGGTCGCCATTTTGATGCATTTGAAGTAGAATATCACATCCACCTACAAACTCTCCATTCAAATAAACCTGAGGTATGGTGGGCCAATTTGAGAAACTCTTTACCCCTGCAGAAAAGGAGATACAAGTATTTTATAGTTAAAAGTAAATAAATAAAAAAAAATACTAGGTACATACTGAGATGAGACTTTCTATGGTTTCTCGTTCAAGTTGTTGATACATATTTCAAAAGCACAGGAACCGCTCTGTGAAGGATTTGTATATTGCCCACTGTGCCTCTGGCTTGAGGGATGAAGATGTCCAAAGCAATCCAATGACATTGCTTCACATGACTGGGAGACTAGAAGGACAGTAATCCCATATGTTTCTCTGATTTAAAATTTGAAGTAACATGTCTGTAAGGAACACTGGTCTTCCCAACCCTTTCTGAATTCCAAGTCTGCTGTAGTGGTTATGATGCAGGTATGCCAACCTCCACTCATGTATCAAAAAGATGTTTGAAACGCACTGCATAAACAAAGTGATTTAACTCTTAAATGGCAGAGAATTAGGCAGCAAGACGGCAGGGTCACCATCTATACACCACAAATGCTCAATTAAGCTAAAGTTGTTTTGGTGCCTATAGTGTCCCTTTAAGTGCCATGGTTAGTTATCAATACTCTATTGCAACGTTTACCAACTGGTGTTGCGTGAATACACAAATGGAGTTCTGCCAAAATTTTGTAAAACAAAATGGCCGCGAGCGGCAAGGGAGCACTCCTCCCAGCTCAGCAGTGATGCCGGAGCCGGAATATGATGTAACTCCGGCATAACAAAGAGGCGCGCAAGGGAGCTGAGCAGGAAGATCACTGCTCCCTCGCCACCCCAGGGACTGCACGCCAGCCGCCCCATTGGACCCCAGGGGCCGCATGCCCAGCAGCCCCACTGGACCACAGAGACTCCATGCCAGCACTCCCAAAAGGTAGGGAGGCTGGGTGAAGTAAAATTTCAAATAAATAAATTGATGTGTCTGTTAGGGAGTTTGTATGTCTGTCAAAGAGTATTTGTGATTTGTGTCAGTGAGAGTGTATATGTGAGTCAAGATGTGTGTATGTGTCACTATGTGCCAGACAGATACATACACACACACACACACACACAGATACACACACTGGCACATACAAATACAGATACACACAGTGTGTGTGTGTGTGTGTGTGTGTGTGTATCTGTGTGCCACTATGTGCCTTTGTGTGTGTATCAGATTCATACACAGTGACACATACAAACACAGATACACACACTTTGACATACACACAGATATACACTGTGTCAGTGTGTGTATCTGGGTGTCACTATGTGCGTCACTATGTGTGTATATTTGTGTGTCAGATAGATACACACACAGGCACATACAAAAAACAGGGGGGTTCACGATGTTGATACACTATGTCAAAGGGTTCCACTGGAAAAACTAATTGGGAACCCCTGCTCTATTGTGTAGTCACTGAGAACTGTATATTTTAGATCAAAAGAGCAGAGCTGTAAACTTGCGGAGCTGGGAAAGGTTTACAGTTTGGCTGTTTTGACCAAGTTTTAATACTTCCCTTGTCAATTCTCTAGATTTCATTTAGTGAATAAACCATTGTAAAATGGTCTTCAATGTACACTACAAGCACCATAGCCTGTTGTAGACATGATAGTGTCAGGAATGCCATGGCTGTAGTGGCTAGGGCGCATGAGGTACTCATTTAAAAAAAAAAAAAAAAATCCTATATAGAAAACAATGTCGTTATCCTGCACTGGGCGCCTCCATGTCAGTTACTGAAGATAGGAAATGAGACTAGTGTTTCTATTTCTCCTCTTCATTTACATTTGCCCTGGCTTTGCCTTGTCTGAACTGGAGTAGGATGTTATTTGCCAACATCGAAAAAAACAAAACAAAAAACAAAACCAGAGCATCACAAGTTAAATGTGACTTTCAATGTTAAATAGTGGCAATCCCCCTTTAAACTCACTACAGTATTAAACGAATCAAGCCCACGATATCTACAAGACTACTGTTGACGTAAAGCACATTATGCTGTCAAAAGGATTTTACAAGGCGTCAGCTATTTCTGGATGTTTAAAGAAAAAAAGAAGAAAAAAAAAACCACACACACACAAAAAAACCAACAAAAAACGTCAAGTCATGGTAAGCATGTTATGGTTTAATCTTGATAAAGCAGAGTATGAGCCACAGTTGCACAATCCACCAAACACGGAAAACTTTTTCTACAAAGCATGCTTAATCTATGCCCTGCAAGCCTGATCAAATTATTTAATCGTAGACAGAACCTTGAAAACATCCACTAATGTCTGTACAAAGGTTCATATGCAAACAATCCAACGATAGATTCTTTGAGAAATAGCAATACAAAGTGAGTTTTTTTTCAGTGTCGCCGACACGTTTTCATTTATTAAATCTATTAGACTCCTCTCCTGTAAGTAAGCAGGACTTAAGGGACCTGCTGGAAGAAATGCATGAGGTGTAGAGAACAGACCTGCGGAGCACAAAAAAGGTGGTGGGTGATCTCCAGCAGCGGAATCCAGAGAGGAAGCAAGGGACCACCAGCTGCATTATTCCAGTGACATGGTACAAGCCCTCAGCTCCCAGGTCCAGTCACTCACACGAACAGTCACTGGAATCCCGGCATAGGCGGCAGAACATCTGCATCCTAGAGTGTGTTGGGGGAGAAGCCTTGTTTCCCCACATACACCACTTACTCACAGTGATGGGCATAAAGGGGAGAGCCGAGCCTGCCCTGATACAGTCAGCATTTAGGATCCGCAAAGCCGCAACAGCGCCAACGGATACGCCCAGAGACACAATAGCGGTCACAAGAGACATGGCAACCAGCTCCGCTGTCATGTCCCACTCCAGAGCCCTAGGCACAGTGCAACTGAATGGCAGCACTGTGGCCTTCTACAGGAACCTCCCATTCGCAGTGTTTTTAGAAAGGAAACAAGTGGCGCCTATACCAAGAAGACTAAGGGAAGCGGAAATCAGATACCGATGGGGTGCAGACGGCTCCCTGGCGGTACCACGGGGAGACCAGATGCTTACACTGTCCTCCAAAGACGACCAGCTGACATTCCTCAGGAAGCTGAACATACAAGATGCGGACAAAAAAAAAAAAAAGAGGCCAGTGGAGGTGACAACCAAGCACTGCGTCAGCCCAAGAGCAACAGGGGGCCGGGGAGAGACACCAACTATAACAAAGAGACAGCCCTAAGCTTTAACAGGTGGCAACTCCAGTCCGCCTGATGGTCTCTAGCGGGCCCTAGCAACCATATGGCACGGTGCATGAGAGAGCAGCCCTGGGCCACTCGATCTAACGGAGGTCCACCAGAACCCCACACAACTTCAGCTCCTGTACACAGAGGCTCGCACATCCCTGATTGACACAACAGCAACTGCATAATGCCCTTAAAGCTAACAATATCATATGTTCCCGTTTACCCCTAGCAATCGCCAGACACAAAAACCTAATATAGCTAATGCCAGTTGCTCTCCAGACGTTGTTGATGCAAAACTGTCACTAGATACATGCAAGTTTTGATAATACTTGTATACAAAATTGTTACTATTTACATACTAAATGTAAGTTGTATTTTAAGTCTTTAACCCCTTAAGGACACACGACATGTGTGACATGTCATGATTCCCTTTTATTCCAGAAGTTTGGTCCTTAAGGGGTTAAACAGGCAACCTTCCAATACAACCCCTGCATAAAGGGGTTCATCCACTCAGCCAAACCTGCTCTAAACCTACTGGCTATGATTTGCTCTGCCATGAGCACATAGTGAGCCAAAACCACCTTACCAAGCCTCTTGCACACTTTGTGACTAGAGATGTCGCGAACCGTCCGTGAACTTCTCGCGAAGAACTCTGGTCAGCTGACACATCCCGGCCAATCTCCAGCAGACCCTCCCTCCCAGACCCTCCTACTTCCTGGACAGCATCCATGTTGAAACATGGACACTGTCCAGGAAGTAGGAGGGTCTGCTGGAGATTGGCCGGGATGTGTCAGCTGACCGGAGTTCGCCGCGAACAGCTTGTGGCGAACCGTTCGCAAGACGTTCGCAAACGGTTCGCGACATCTCTATTTGTGACCATGGTTACCTGTGCCAAAAGTCTTCTAAACCTACAGACTACAAACTGTTCTGTCAAGTGTTCTTTATCTGCACTGCCAAACATCCCATGTCTTCCCTATTAAGGGTTAATAAGCATGTAGGGATGTATATAAAAAAATACCCCTTTTTGTCTCAGAGATATTTTTGCCAGAAGCTCAAAGAAGCAAGGGGAATGGTTAGAGTTAGGTCTGCCTTGACATGGCAGGTGGGCATACCTTCTCATGGCCATTGGAGGTAACTAAAAACCTCCATTTGTTTAAAAATACATAGGGATGTGGAAAGAGCACAGGTAACTTTTTTTGAACCTGGTCTACTCAGTTAAAACTCTGCTATACCTACTGTATCAGGTCCACTCTATCAAGCTTAAAAAACACCTACTGAACACAGTCCACCCTATTAAATCGTTTATGCCAGTGGCTATAAAGGAGTGCTTTCTGTGGATCAGTTAGTAGATGGCCAGCTTGTCAAAGTTAGTAAGCCTCTAGTCTACAGTCCACCCTTAAACCTACTGAATCCCAGTGCATCCTAAATAGCCTTCTCATGTAGGCACTGCTCCCTCCTGACAGCGCTGCCTTATACCCACTGCCCCCCAGACAGCCCTGCCTTATACCCACTGCCCCCCCAGACAGCCCTGCCTTATACCCACTGCCCCCCCCAGACAGCCCACCATATACCCTGCCCCCAGACAGCCCCTGCCTTATGCCCTGCCCCCCAGACAGCCCTGCCTTATACCCACTGCCCCCGGACAGCCTGCCTTATACCCACTGCCCCCCCGGACAGCCCTGCCTTATACCCACTTGCCCCCCGGACAGCCCTGCCTTATACCCTGCCCCCCCCAGACAGCCCTGCCTTATACCCTGCCCCCAGACAGCCTGCCTTATACCCTGCCCCCCAGACAGCCCTGCCTTATACCCTGCCCCCCCAGACAGCCCTGCGCCCATACCCGCTTCCCAGACAGCCCTGCCTTATACCCACTGCCCCCCCAGACAGCCCTGCCTTATACCCACTGCCCCCAGACAGCCCTGCCTTATACCCACTGCCCCCAGACAGCCTGCCTTATGCCCTGCCCCCCCCAGACAGCCCTGCCGTATACCCACTGCCCCCAGACAGCCCTGCCTTGCCTGCCCCCCCAGACAGCCCTGCCTTATACCCCTGCCCCCAGACAGCCTGCCTTGCCACCCTGCCCCCCCAGACAGCTGCCACGACAGCTCCCGGTTCTCACCTTGCCTGAGGTCCTGGTCCTCCAGCACATTGTAGGCCGCATAGCCCTCCACCCCGTGCATGCGGAGAATCTGCACCACCGCGTTACTGAATCCGCACATGGGCTGGGCCGGGGTGCCCTTAATAAACACCACCACCTTGTTCTTCTTTACCAGCCCCTCCACGTACTCCGGGGTGCCGCTGGCATGGCTCTCCCACCGGCAGCCCGGCCTGGACCGCAGCAGAAGAGCTGACACTCTACTCAGTGCGCGACTCATCTCAGAGACCTTCAGTGAGACCTTCACTGCGCGCTAACCTTCCTGGCCCTCACCGGCATCCGTCACCTCTCACAGGCCACTCCCACATCCCTCCATTACCATCGCCCTGAACCTGACACACCCATTCTATCAGTTTGCCCTATCACTGGAGGGAGCGTAAGGTTAGGGGCGTGGCCAGACTGGTTTGTCCCGTTAGCAGTGCTTCTAATTCCTGAGGCACTTAGGAAGCTGCTAGGAGCAGTAGGCGGAGTTGGGCGCCATGTTGGAGGGGGAACAAACTATATCAATGCTCACACACCGTCCGCCATGTTGGAGGGGGAACAAACTATATCAAGGCTCACACACCGTCCGCCATGTTGGAGGGGGAACAAACTATATCAAGGCTCACACACCGTCCGCCATGTTGGAGGGGGAACAAACTATATCAAGGCTCACACACCGTCCGCCATGTTGTAGCCATCTCGCCAGTCTGGAGCTCCGATGAGGGTAAGTAGTGTTTAAAGCGCGGGTTTCTGTGGTAATTTGGACAGACTGCATGTTATTCCCCCATATTATTATTGTTATCAGTGAAGCTATTATCCGCCCTCACCACAGAGTCTGACAGACAATCACTGCTTACTCTGGGGGCGCAGTGTGTTTGGCGGGCTTTATAAAAAGCTGACTGAATCCTTGGACACCTCTATCAGTGAGACTTGTCAGGAATTACAAGAAAACTTACAATTGGGGGTGTGTGTGTGTGTTAGGAATAACCTTAACAGGGGGTGTGTGTGTGTGTGTCAGGAATAACCTTAACAGGGGGTGTGTGTGTGTGTGTCAGGAATAACCTTAACAGGGGGTGTGTGTGTGTGTGTGTCAGGAATAACCTTAACAGAGTTACCAGGGTGTGTGTCTGTGCCAGGAATAACCTTAACAGAGGTGTGTCAGTAACCTTAACAGAGGTGTGTCAGGTGAAAAACCTTAACAGAGGTGCCAGGAATAACCTTAACAGAGGGGTGTGTGTGTCAGGAATAACCTTAACAGAGGGGTGTGTCTCAGGAATAACCTTAACAGGGGGGTGTGGTACCAGGAATAACCTTAGGGGGTGTGTGTGTGCCAGGAATAACCTTAACGGGGGGGGGTGTGTGTGTGTGTGCGCGCCAGGAATAACCTTAACAGGGTGTGTGTGTGTGTGCCAGGAATAATCCTTAACAGGGGGGGGGAGACAAGACCTTAACACCTCCTACCCCCCCATAGCCAGTCCTATTAAGTGGCTGTGCATGTTCAATATATTGGGGTTATCTTATTTATTTATTTGGTTAGCATTAGAAACTTGGCAAAGACCCATTGTGGCTGAAACATTGTCAAGTGCACTGTTTGCTTGTATGGATATTTACGAGCATGATGCAAAATGTATTTTACAAAGATTTTTGGTGCAATTGGTGGTTACCCGCCTTGTCCCCCATATGACCTCACCGTGCCTGATATCTGCAGTCTCTTTTTTGGGATCCAGAGCTGTATGTGCTGTGGGTTTTCAGAGTTGCAGAGAGAATAATCCAGAGGAAGCCGAGACATAACTGTGAAAGTATCAGCAAGTTTACGTGCTATGTTCCTCTGACATTTCGTTATTCTGTTACCACGGAGGTAATAACTTTCCCATGTTATTATTACCAATCCAGCAACAGATAGACTAATGCAAAATTATATTGTTTACAGAATTGAGTTTTCTGATGAACACTGAAACTCTGCTACACTTTGTGTAACCACTGAGCACAAAACAGTACTGATTTACTGAATACAATTGTCTTTTGTTTTCCCAGGTTCTCTGACTGCAAGCATGAAGTGTGCTGAACGAAAAACATTCAACACTGGTTTAGCAAAGCAACATATCTGTTTAAGAAAATGTCGCTGGATGTATTCATGCAAAGTGTCCCCTGAGTTCACAGATGCACACATAACATAGCATCACGTTGAAAGAGGAAACACATGCACAAATTTGGGTAGCAAATGCATTTTTTTGGCCTATTGTAGTGTGTGCCAGGGAAGTAAAATGATCAATGATGTTTTTTACAAGTAGATGTGCAACTAACCACTCTCAACTCTATCATGTTTTAGTAGGTGGATGCAAGCTTATGGTAAGTTTGTCGTATGGTTTGTGCAGGTGGATTTAACCAGAGCTTTGTCTAGATTAATTTTTGTGCAAGCTAACTTTTTTTCCCCTTCCTTTTACACATGATGGTTTCACTTTAAAAATATTCTTAATTTAGCAACATTAAGGAAAACAGAACTAGCCTAACAAACGAGACCCTATGTTTCCTTTTAATATAAAAAAGGAAACTTAAAATAAAAAAAGTGGTCGCTGAAATTATAGGAGCTCTGGCTGCCTTGAGTTATGAGAGATGTGACCCGATTTAAGAAACATTCTTTAACTTATACGTTATTTTGTTACATTTTAAAGAATTTCTTAAAGCTCTGCACACACAAAGCATTTTAGCCACATTGGCTACTCCCCATGGAATCTGCTGATTTCCAACTAATTATACAATAGCACATAGACCCCAGCCTCTCCCCCCTATCCTTTTCTCTCCTCTATTGTCTTTTTCTTTCTTGTTTTCTCTCCTCGCTCCTCTAATAATCTCATGTTTCATACCAACTTCAGTATTGTGACCTGCGAGTCACTGTGCTTAAAATAGTTTTGCTATGTTCTATAGAACCCCAATAAATAAATAAAAAATCACAAAAATAAAGCATTTCAGTAAGCTAAAATGCTTTAGTCATTTGAAATGTCCCTTTAACGATTATATCTTTGAATTTTCTGGTTTAAAAATATAAAGTTTACTAATTGCCAGAAGGTAAAATAATGGCAGTTGTAATAGAAAATGGCAACAGACAAATGTATCTGCAATCCACACTCACCAAACATTAGGAACTGCATATTCTAAACAAGTTGGATATAACATGAAGAATCCTTTGAGGAATATCTTTGCTCCTATGAGTATACAGGTACTCCTCACTCACCGACCGGGTTCCGTTCCTACGACCCAGTCGTAGAACGAATTGGTCGGTAATTGAGGAGTAAAGGTATTCCCTGCTCTGCTGCGTTCTTCTATGTTTGGGCAAATTTCTCCTAACATAGAACGCAGCAGAGCAGGGAATAACCTCTAATTCCCTTGACGGCTCACACTTACCACCTTGCGAGAGAGCTGGTCACAAAACGAGGACCACTTGTACTGCTTTTAAAATTACTACAGTTGGTATGCCTACCTAAGGACTAACAGGGGTCCATCCCTTCATTGTGCTTTCCCTAGGAAAGAGAGGGTAAACAAAATCATGATGAAACTATGTAAAGATTAGCAATGTCCTTTTTATACACAAGTCCTAGAAAAGCAGATGTACTGGACAACACTGAGGTCACAGGGTCGATGAGCATTTAATTTGTGGGGGTTTTTGTGTGGTTTATTTTGTGTGTGTGTGCTATTTAAGTGAAATATTTAATACAAGGGGGCGGAGCTTGCTAGCGGGAAAAGACGGACGCCATATCTGTCGGCTCCCGATAATCTTACAATCTAAAGCAAATTACCTCACAATCACAACCAGCGTGACTTTCTGCATCAATTGAGGCCTTTCAGATACCCTGCCGGGCGACCCACACCAAAACGCAAGTCTGTGGCCCACCTCCAGCTGCCACGTTTCTCCCTGGAGTCACTCCTGGGCCGATTACTGGCACATAGTTGACTCTGGACCACCCAATATTCACTTCCTCCATTTTCAGAGCGCCCAGGGTACATGGGACGCAGGTCTCAAAAGCCTGAAGGTAGGGACACAGGAGCCATGCTCCAAAGCCCTCACAAGCTATAGCAACCCCTGCGATGACCAACAAGATGTGGCCATATCACAGAAAGCCCAGGGACCTGGGCCTTCTTAGACACCTGATATGGGTCGACATCCTCTCCAGGGGGTTCGGCAACAAATGACGACCTCAGGGTTCTGCTTGCTGACCTATACAAAATGATGGCAGCAGACCGAGCTCTCGCGCAGAAGGTGATCCAGGCAGTCACCGACTGGGTACAAACCACAGAAGGAGCTGTACTAGATGTACAGGCTGCGGTTGCCATGCTCAGTGGCTTGGTCCTCCAGCTTCAAAATAACCAACTCTCAGTGCTCATGCAAATAACCACGTTGGGTTGTGGAACAACTTCTAAACATGTCTTGCTCTGAGCCTGTCCTTGATCTTGATGAGCTGCACAGCCACAAAGGCTGACACTTCAGAGCCTGAAAGCCTCATGCAGTTATTCTGTGGAGGATCCCTATGGCCCTGCAAAATATTATTTTAGCCTTTTGGGTGCCATCCTGAACTTTGTCTCTGGACACCGTGGATTTAAGGTCAAACGGATAGTTCCTTGTAGTTTTTGTGTCTCTGACTTGTGCACTTTATTACTATGGTACCCTGCTGGGAGAAGATGGGGGATACATGGCTGGGGTTGTTGCAGGTCTTGATTGGTATTGATTTAAAGTTTGTATAGGAACAGAACCCTTTTTTATTTATTTACTCCGTATATAACACATTATATTGGACTTTTGAATAATGATGAACCCTGTATGTTTGCAGTACAGTCTGAGCATCCACCATTTAGTGCAATGTTTTCTTGAACTTTGACTATGAGAGTCCATGTTGAAACGTAACTACGATCCTGCAGAGACATATCTAGCTTGTTTTGCTCTGTGTAAAGCTGTAGATGTAAAACTAAAAATACTATATATAATATATAGGCTAACTGAATGGAAGTCCACTTCCTGACCTTCAGTTCTGTACCTTGCTGGAAGATGGCGCTATTTAACTGAGAGGAAGACACTTGATGTGCGATGGGTTTGAAAATTGTTTATATAGTACCAAAAATTTTTGCAGGACTTAAAGTATAGGGAAAACTCAGAACAAATAATGGACTTAAAATAAAATTGACAGAGACAACAGCTGAAGAAAGCCCTGCAGGTTTATTCACATATACTGAACTGAAAATCAAGTTCGTTTTCAAACCCACCAATCCTACGGAACCTTGTTTTCTATGGATTCTTAAAGGCAGTCAGGGTTTTCCAAGGCAAGTCTGAGAAAATAATTCTGTAGATATTGAGTCATTACCTTCTGTGATGGCCTTGGGAATGAAAAATTATCATTATCATTCTTATT